GAATATTTTGACAATAAATAATCACACAATGTAAATACTATACGCAAATAATTTCTGTATTGAACTATTTTGTGTATCTATTATATTCTATATTGTTGTAAAAGTGTAGTGTGGAGAACAAATGAAAGTATGCTGTGAATGACAGAATGATATTTGTATTCAGGCACCTAGTAACATGCCTGACACTGCTGAAGATTATTACCACCTTCTCTTACAATTATTTAGTCAGTGTACATATTATTTTGACAAATTTATGTTAAAATTATTTTTATATTTTTTAGGTCCCACAATGATTATATGGAAGAGTATAAATGCGACGAAACCCTTTCCATATTCAAATGAAATCTCTGTAAAAAACAGAGTCGATGGTACGATTCTGACTAAATCATGAGCACGTGTTAATGAATCGCTATCAAATAGTGATAATACTAGGTGTTCGCGATAGGTGAGAGTATCCTGGCCCACCGGTGTCAGAAGAAATCCCTAGTGTTGAGATCCATTTTCACTCTGTGCAAATTGTGGTTATTTTCATGCAGAGTTACAAGTTACAAATATTAGAGTGTCTTGTGAGGTACAGTGCTTTAGACAACAAGAGAGCTGTACTTTTGAAATAGTCAACCAGTGCACTAACACGTTGCCACTGAGCATTTAGCCAGTGCTTGTGATATTTTCTTTTCCCCGGCCTTCGCCCTTGCGCAAAACTACCTCATCCAGCATCAGCTACCCTGTATCACAGAAACTTATCAAATGAAACAGCAAAGGCTGATTTTGTTGTCAGAGACCATAAAACAAGATTTCAATAAAAAAAAGTTTATTTTAATGAGCATAGAGAAAAGCATAACACACATCGGATGGAAATCTTTCACTAATCACCTCTACAACACAAGATGGAATAACTTTTCTCTGATTCTTCAACTATTTCTGCAAATCCCAAAAGTGAACCTCATGTTTATGAGGTGTAGATAGATTCTGAAATGAAAAAGTGTCTTTTATTAGTCAAGCTATACATAACATTACAAAAAATATCATACCATTTACATATATATTTTTGTCATTCAATCTGGAGGGATGCCTATATAAGAAGTAACTTGTATTGATGATATATGCATAATTTTTATTACATGTTAATAATTCAATAAATACCAAAACAGTTTATAGTTCTATCATGTCGACATGATGTGTTTATTACTATAGGTTTGAATACTTCTTGAAATATTGTGGGCATGTTTCAATATCACTGATGTAATTTAATAACCTTACAAGTTACATATGCTTTCACAACTTGCTGGCAAATAAACATTTATGGTACTGGAGATTTATTTTACTTGTCAGATTTGTTTGTTGTGCATGATAGATCTTAAAATGCATAATAAAATAAACTGATGAAAGTAAGTCATGTTGTATGTTTTCTAAACTTTATTTCAAGTGTTAACATATAAAAGGATGGTGAGGTAGCCTCATAATAGATGATAAATAGTTTCCCTGCAAAGTTGCAATGCATTTTCTATGAATGGTTGTCAGAACAAACCAATAACCAATTATTAATTAAATAGAATAAGATACTGTAGGCCTACTGCAGTAACTGGTTTCAAACACTAAACACATCAAATTAATGATCTATCTTTTCACTTTCAAATGGGGACGGTGTGAAGTGTGAAGTGTGAAGTACGACATCCAGTTACTTGTCAATAAATATGGCAGGTATTTTGAACTCGGATGGGAAAAAAACAAAAAGAATCTTTTTTTCCACCAGTACGTTTCCACTCGGCAACCGACTTTAGAAACATACTGTTACTCTAAGCATATGGTCTCGTCATCAGCTGGTAGGCCTAATGTGTAATCTTGTTGAGACAACGTTTGGCGACAGATCGTATTTGTTTCTTGATGTTGGCAAGTAGCATTGATCTGTAGCCTATAGGTGGTGGGAATAGTTACATCTAAAACAGACAAACTCAGATTGTCGACAATGCCGATACCGGCGATAGAACAGGGTGGGACAGGATGAATAGGCCTGCTGACGAAGCATGCGGGTCACCAGACGTGACAAAAATCTCTTAGAATATTACGTTTCCGCTTCTGAAAACGTAATAATGAGCATAAAGGTAATTTAGGTATACACACATCAAAGTGTTATTCTTACCACGTTGTCACTGGTCGGCCTAATTGTGTAGATGTCGAGTCGGGATCGGGTGACAAATTAGTAGATGTGGGTCTTCTCTTGTTTCCACTTGATTTTCATCGTTTCCATAACGCGAAGCTTGCTCGTTTTGGTTCAAAATCGTATGGTTTTGCGATTTCTTGAAGGGTCAAGGGAACTTCTTCGGACAAGGCAAGGTATCGGATGCTATGTTGTCTCACCATAAACTGGTACTTGATATCTTTTGCGTTGTGACAAGACAGGGACCCAGTTAAATTGGCACCAATTACGTCATAATCTAAGGGAGACAACTCAGGCCTGTTTAGCTCGGAAAACGAACGCCTATAACGGCAAATTCACACATTATTTTCTTTGTTATATCCAGTATCGGTCGCCAAAATTAGAAGCGGAAACCAGTTTTCCATAACCATAAGCAAGCTCTCATAACAACAGATTCCATTGTACGATTCCTTGTTTATGAATCACCATCAAATAGTTGAATTAGCTGAATTTTATATCTATACACAATATTCGTTTGTTGTGTAAGGCCGCACTCATCAATATTCCAGTTTTATTATGGCGGTCTGTGAATAATCCGAGTCCGGACCAGGCAATCCTGTGTTTGAAATGCTTGCCGTAAATTATGACTATGCTTGTCGGAGTAGGCGACTTACGGGATCGGGTGGTCAGGCTCGTTGTCTTGGTTGATGAATGTCATCGTATCCAAACTGCGTGGATCGATACGCATGATGTCAATTACTGGATTGTCTGGTCCAGACTCGATTATTTACAGACCGCCGTCATATAGATGGAATATTGCTGGGTGCGGCGTTAAACAAAAAATGAAGAAAAGTGTTTGACATCATGACCATCTATATACAAAATTCGGATACGTTGACATTCCATCAACCGAAACATACACTCATCATATATACATACATGTACATGTAGGTTGATTGGTACGTTCTGAGCCCTACGCAGAATGAATTGCGTAATAGTGACACATTTTGTTGAGGACATTACATGATGTTATACGGCATTAACAAACTTGTGGAATGTACTATCTTCCAAAAGGCCAGACAATAAGCGGAGCATATTATCCTACACTTCTGTGGCAATTAGGGGATGGAATTGAGACGTGGGAAGTTGTGAAAAGGCGTGCTCTTCCACCAGGACAATGCGCTAGTGCACAAATCAGTCATTGTCATGGTTAAAATACACGACTGTGGCTTTGAACTCCTTCAGACTCACCTGTTTCTCCTGATCTGGCTCCGATAGACTTCCATTAGTTTTCAAACCAATTTCAGTAAAATCAGATCTTTTTTCTCGCTATCGCTAAACAAAGATCTGTGCTCATTCCATTATGGGTCATGTCAGAACGTCATTTTGCGAACTTTGACCGACCAATGAAATGACTGACAAGAAGTCGACATTAGCCAATCAGAAATCAGTTTTCTTGAGCTATTGGACACTAGTTACAAACTGGCGTGTTTTTCATTCCAGACTACGCTCTGAAAACTATTCCTCGATGCAAAATTGGAAAATTGAACAAGAGAACATTCTGGAATGTCTACTTGATGGCCGAGAGTTATGGCAATGGTTCCCACGGTCAATGCAACGTTTCTTTCGATCAGGATACTTATCACTGCTGCAAAGATGGGTTGGACTTTAATTTGAAACGGTTGGATTCTAAACGATCACCAATTGTCAATTAATCACTGAACTTTTCAATTAAGAATTGACCTTCACTTTGTGTGAGTTCATTGGAGAATGAACCTTCATAGAGTGGGGGCCAAAACGGTATGAACGTCGGAGCTTGCGACAATTTCTTAACTCAAAGGATGTAGGCCAAGATCTAAACACAATTATATTTAGTACGTGTGACTTCATGTTTACACTGACAGCCATACAACAACCAGCTATATCGCGGAATAAAATAGTTCCTCAAAAGGAGAGGTGACATTAGCGTATGGGTGCAGAACTTGCTCTTCAGAAATATCTTACGCAACACATGTGTTCAGATAATATCACCATTAGATGAGAAAGGTCTGTAAAGAACTACCTCAGTAAGTCAGTCACAATTGCAGAGCGTCGTAATACATTTACATGAAGTACAAGACGTCGAAATGGCTGACACGATAAACGTGACGGGAGAGATTTCCGAAGTTGTTAATTAACCTGTGGCGGTTACATGTGTTAGTCATCATTGATCAACTGGCCGATCATTGAAAGTTGATTAAAGATGCGTCAAACAGACACTAAGGTAAATTCATCCATTGCTGGAGACGGTAACTGTCGGCCTAGACACGGATCGAGTCGATACTGCGATAGTTTGAATGTGTATTTCTTCGTTTGCCCATTAGGATGGGACGTAGCGAGGATATTCGTAAAACAATCATGCAGTCAAGCTCTCTGACTTTTCTCAATGCATACTGAAACGTTGTGACCAAGATTAAAGGTTCTAAAAGATCAGAAAGAACGCTTATGTATGTTTTCGTGCTAGGGAATTCCCAGGGGTTTCCCCAGGAATGTGGAAGTAGTGCGCCAGTGTTTACGTCATTTCAAGAACACAGTCTCGTGAAAAACGTATGAACGTCAAATTGTGTCGTTCATACACTTATGAACGTCAATTTCGCGGTCATGTGACCGACCTCTCGTCCAATGGAAAAGCCGTATATCGTGTAAACTTCAAATTAAAAAAATTATTCAAAAATGGGCAAAAGTTTTCCAACTTCCGACGTCCTTTCCATAACAGGCAGTGGACACCAGGGTAAATATTAAAGATAACTTAATTAAAACTTTAAATAATTGTATTCAAGAGAATGAAATAAGACCGTAAAAACATGTTTTGATTGAGAAATTATATACGTTACATCATGAAATTGTAATGTCATTATTATAATTAGGACATTGGACAAAAACAAAATAAAGACTTTTTCACAAGTTGTTAACATATATAAAATACATAGTGTCACGTCTCTTTGATTGTAATTCCCAGCCTGTTTCATAATATAAGCTAGTTCGAGATGCGAATTTAGCAAGATCAGCAACTATTCTATCGCTTCCAATTGAATCGTTTCAATGTTATCAGGGCCAAGAATAAGCTGCATAAACTATGCACAACAGGGGATGTTGATCTATCTAGTACATACGTTTTAGAAAAGAAAATATTATTTTAGATGCAGATTTGCTAAATATACTGTCAATATAGGCAGACCATTTCATAACTTGAGATAAAATAACACCTAGGTGTTTATGGGTATTCAAAGGATGAAAACATATATTATTATAGACCATATTAGGAACCTTGTTTGTGTGACTGAATATTGATGTTATTTTGTCGGGATTAAACTTTGTTGATGCCCTGTTGTAGAGGTAAGATAAATATCACACAAGTTAATTTGTAGTTAATTCTAACAGACGATCCACCAACAGATGAGTCATCAGAGATTATCAGCCAAATAGTCCATAAATACAAGGAATAAAAAGGGACCTAGGACAGAACCTTGTGGTACTGCAGCTGAGATGTATTTCAGGAGAGACTACCATTTACAAGAACCAGCATGTAATAACCAGACACAAAACATATAGCAAACAACACTTGCAACTTGCAACATGCAAGTAAAACACAAACATCCACTTCTAAAGGCTACCATTTACAAAGTCTTCTTGATTCCGTCTAGAAATGTAGAGGGTGTCAGGAACTAGCAGGTACTAACAATACACATGCAAAACCTATAGCAGACAATAGGTTATGATAACGCAGGACAAAAGTAAAGGTGCGTTTTTTGTGATAAAGTAATCATGTGTTCTATAGGACTGTGTGGGTTGAAACAGCACCATCTTCTCCTTGCACATATTCCTTGAAACGCCGAAATTGAAATTGCTCCCATTTTCCCTGAGTCGTCAAGGTCTTCATGTTACTTCTAAACATTTGGGTATGCTCGTCTCCATCTTCTGGGAACACTTTGTAGTATGTTGCATTGATGATGTAACCTCCTGGACAGAAAATAACATATGAAATGTTCATGGTTCTGTATGAGTTCATTCGTATGGTAAGTCTAAATACGATACAATTTACGCGCTAATACAGAGAGCCTTAAACCATGCGAGCGTCGTCATCCGGCGTAGTATTAACGCGAGCGAGGAATCCTCTGATTCATGTTAGTCATTGTGACTCTTTGGTTTCATAAAACTTACACAAACACCATTAGCAATTATTCCTCTAGTAATGCAATCAGCGTTCTTGACAAGCGAATTGAATTCATTTTTACCTGTTTTTACAATACGGATGAGCTCCTCAAATGCTTTTATCGGCAGCTGTTTCATTATCACTGTACTCATCCCTGATATCGTTACTGCGTCGTAGGTATCTGTAACATGTTTTTATCACTTACACAGAACACACAGAGAATATAAAGAAGGTGAGGTGAAATTGGGTTTAACGTCGCGTGCAAGATTATTGCACTTATATAGCGACGTGCATGCACGCGTGTGTGTGTGTGGCTGCTTGTACTAGTCCGGACTGATGCCGATTTATAGTGTTAGCTCATTGAGATACCATGCCGCAGTTTAACATGAATACCCCACTCAGACACAGTATACTGACTCCGAGCCGACCAGTCCTTGTTTAAGCCCCTTCATGCCGAGCGCCAGACAGGGTAACAACGAGTACCATCTTTTAACGTCTTTTGGTATGAAGCGGCCGGGAATCGAACCCCGGACCTTCCGCTCTCCGGGCGGACGCTGAATACATAGAAAATAGTGTACACAGAAAATAGGAAATACAAGAAATATTCACGTACCACTTTCAATGTCTAAAGTGTGTTCTCCTATTGCTACATTGAAGTACTGGTTGTACAGTGCCTTCTTTCTCGCCTCATCCAGCATCCCCATCGATGGGTCAAGCGCATCCAGTTTCCGAAAACCATGAGTGTAAAGCTGTAATGCAAAACTACAGATGCAAAGAAATAAGAAAGTAATGAAATACTTAAATCATTTATTAATAATATCACAAATAAATCATCTCAATTAACAAAAGCTACCTGATAATCAAACTAACAATTTGCATGTAAAACTTATTAGATTGAGCAATCAAAGAAGCGACGACCTTGCCATTTGGACACGATGGTACCCAATGAGCTAAATCATCAAACTTAGACACCCGATACCCTTTTCAATAGGCTCTTACGAACAACATTGGGTCCAGGGGAACGACTCTGGCCCGAAATAGATAATACAATACTGTACACATTGTGTTTGATGCTTGGTGAACTTTGAGAAACCCGCAAAACGTAACAGTATAATTATAAGTCTATTTGTCCTATGTAATAAGGGATAATCAAAGAAAACCTCTTACTTGCTGATTTTTCAGAATCAGAAATTTCATCTTGCCTCAGACGAAAGTTACCTCCTCACGTCCCATGACCAGGAAGAAAACAGCTGTAATTTCGGTCTTAATTTAAAGGGGTTCTTCGCTGGCGACGGGAATCTTATGCTGATGTTTTGCTCAAATGACAAGTATTCCAGTTTGTTTATGCCTTATTTTGACATGTTCTTTGACATCACGAGGCCAATTCAAGGGAAAGGATCGATGATGCCGGCTATTCATCAACCTCAGAAGGAACATACTTCAACCACCTTGATAACTTTGTGTATAATTGGTTCTGTTTTCTGTTATATAAGTTATATAAACAGCCTCACAGTGGTATTAACTATTGCGCGCTGTCATGATCAAGTCTTTAAATAATTGTGAAGCCATCTGTTTACCTCGCCTGCACAAAGCCCAGTTCCTGCAGCTACGTCTAGAATGTTTACATCCTCTCTGTTGCTTGGAAACAACTCGGCGGCAGTCCGGGCTGTTTCCACATATCCGTTGAAGTTCACTGCTTTAAAAACCTGTATAAATGTACTTCACAATTAACATAGCTCATGCAATACACATTCACGGTGATGCGACATGGAGATCAGCTGTTTCAATCAGCAATGTCAAAATCAGGTCAATAATTAAGGGACAAGAAGTTGCTCTGAATCGTCGTTAAAATGTATGAAAGAAATTGTTATCAATAAAACGGTGTCGTATATTCAAGGTCTAATAGACTTCTTTTATATTTTCCTTTGAACTTCAGAATCATGTACATGTACGCGGTATTTTGTTTTATCTGCATTTAAACATATTTACCGTATGGTGCAGAAGCAATGTTGGTGGTGTCTGAGAAAGAAGGTAAAATATACAGAACCGTTACCTAAATTCGTGGATAACCGCGGTATTTTGTTTGATCTCCATTTAAAAATATTTACCGACACATTTCGGTAGTTTGGCAGCTTTAGGATAATTGATCATGAATCAATTGGAATTATAGTCACCCTTTCATAGACCTGGCTATACTTGGAAAAGCCACCGACAATAGCCTCGGATGTGCTGTCATTGCGTCCGTATAGAAAGGTAACTATACTATTTGCATCTTGTTCCCGTGACAGGTCGGTGGAGTTCTCCATGGCAATTAATTCAAAAGAAGGGTGAGTTGTTTTACGCCACAGTCATCTATGTTACACCTGAAGAGAAACCCGTTCTTCCAATTATTGAAATTATATGCACCTCAAGTTTATATAATGTTGAACCTACAATAACACCTGCTACAGTGATATCACCACGATGCGTGCACGACACGGACCTATGGGGTTCAAATATCTTTCGAGAGTATTGTCACCATTTCTTTTTCAGAACATGAGTGAGTATGGTTTTACCCCGTCTTTAGCAATATTCCAGCAATATCAGGGCGGGGGACACCAGAAACGGGCTTCACACATTGTGCCCATGTCGGGAATCGAGCCCGGGTCTTCGTCGTGATTAGCGAACGCTTTAACCACTAGGCTACCCGACCGCCCCTTCAGAACATGAAAACCGCATATATTTGGTGAACATGGTGAGGAATTTATTAATCATTTGGACATTTGGATAAATGTCATTGGAAAGTTTGAAAATTTTTATAGGTTTCATTTTAAATAGTATAATGTATAATGAATGACACCACTAATGTGATTGTCTTAGATTCGAAGCGTCACAGAACCAACCTTCTCAGCGTGTGAGAGCCTCTTTTTGAATTGTATGTATAATTGACACGGAAATAATGCGTTACCAGTCTGCATGGTCTACACAAGAACGAACGTGAACACACTGTTGCAAGACGTATTTCATTGTGTGTCAGACAATGACTGCAGCGTTAGTGAAAAATACGTACACGGTGCTGAAAAATCCAGTACCATACTAATCAAATTAAAACCATTTGATTTGAAACCATGGCCACAGTCATCAAGGGAAGCAACTCATTACAGTGAATTTGGGCCTCTTACATGTAAATCTTCTGGTCATCCTACCAGAACATTACATGACAGCAAATTTAATATTAATCCAACTAACGTAAACGTCATATTGTAGATATATTGTGTCAAGGTCGGGTGCCCATGTGTTATCTCGCCCCTAGATTCTGTCGATGACAAACACGTTCTCTTTTTGCATTTAAGTTAAGTGAGTGATTGAGTGAGTGAGTGAGAATGGTTTTACGCCGCTTTTAGCAATATTCCAGCAATATCACGGCGGGGGAAACCAGAAATGGGCTTCACACATTGTACCCATGTCGGGAATCGAACCCGGGTCTTCGGCGTGACGAGCGAACGCTTTAACCCATTTAAGTTAAGCGCTTACATACCTTGTGCTGCGGGGGAGGTGGGCTAGCCTAAAGCGTTGACTTCGCTCGTCTAACTGAAGACCCGGGTTCGATTCCCCATATGTGTACAATGTGAAACCTATTTCTGGTGTCCTGCGCCGTGATATTGCTGGAGTATTGCTAAAAGCGGCGTAAAACCATTCTCACTCACTCACTCACTTAACTTAAATGCAAAAAGGGAACGCGTTTGTCATCGACAGAATCTAGGGGCGAGATAACACATGTGCACCCGACCTTGACACAATATATCTACAATATGACGTTTACGTCAGTTGGATTGATATTAAATTGTTGCCAAAAGCTGCGTGAAACCAAACACACTCAGCTTGTCCTGTAACATTGATATGTACATTTTCGATTTCGAACTGTTGAATATAATATATAATGTGATATATAAAAGTCATAGAATAGTCATAAAATTACATTTAGCATGCGGAAAATGTTATTTCAGCAAACTAATATTATATTTTTAAACATTCTATAATGGACAAATATTAATATCAGAATAATTCATGTTTTATGCAGTCCTTTATTTTATATGCCATCTGCTGTGTCAGCAATAAGTAAACGCCTTATTTGCTATCACATACTTGTTGTAACCCTGCCTGGCGCTCAGCATTAAGGATCTAAAACAAGGATTGGTCGGCTCGAAGTCAGCATACTGTGTCTGAGTGGGGTATTCATGTTACACTGCTGCATGGTATCTCAGCGGGCTATGAAATGGAGATTAGTATAAGCAGCCACACACACGTGCATGCACGTCGCTATATAAGTGCACCTCACGCATTTCCAAATCTGAATAAAATGCACATGCACGATCATACTTTGTATGTATTTTGGGTCAGCGGTCTTTCACTGAACAGTCCCTATTAAGGTGGCCTAACTTTGGTTGATGGTGATCTATAGCCCATTTTTATATTGTATTGTTGATTTAGTTTTAAAATCAAAACTGTGATACTCTAGATATCTTACTGTCCATCGTTGACAGCTTTTTATTAAATCAAAATATAATTATTATAACTGTTTCGTCACGATATGGCTGAACTATTGCCGATGTGACGTTAAATTTCACTCACTCACTCACTCACTCACTTTCACTGAATAAAACATTTGCAATGTGTTTCGAAATATATGCATCTTTCTTTCCTGAAACTAAATTTCGACTACAGTATATCAACTCGCAGCTTCAACATTGAAAACATCATGAAGTACTCACCGACGTGTTGAAGAATACTGACTCAGATGAAAAGCATATATACGGCATTATATATTGCAAACTGGAGTGATCCATTCGGTATTTTGAGGGGTGTTTTGGAAGTATGGTGCAGAAGCAATGTTGGTGGTGTCTGAGAAAGAAGGTAAAATACACAGGTATACAATCTACAAGTTTCATTTTTACATAAAAATATACGTCAACGTCAGAAAATAACTTGTCTTGATTATCCACGGTAACAGATTTAATTGTGCGTAAAAGGCTAATGCTACTTAGATTATGATGAAACTTGGGGACTTCAGAAACATGGACCCTGTTCAATTAAATACAAAACGGCAATGCCAGAGAGAAACCATCCTCGATTATCCACCGAAACAGATTCCAAGTAACCTTTTCGTTCCTTCACTATATGATGTTTGCGTTACATTGCAAGACGTAACAGGCTGGCTAAATTTCTCATATTCAATGATTGTATAACACATTGTAAGATTGTGTTACATATATTTATGTATATATGTAAATGTCATCGCAATTCTTAGCTGGGTTACTACAGTTGCGTACAATCATACACGTCATATTATGATTCTCATGATATTATCGTAGCGATAAATGCATGACAACTTTTTTCTGACAAAACATTAACATAAGGGTTGTTATCTTGAAGTGGTTATTTGAAGTGATATGTGAAACTCTAGGCAAACGCCTACCTGATATAATTGAAATAAAAGCGACAAAAGAAATTTCACAATCCAAAGAAATGTCAGCTAAAAGTTGTGTCCACTGTACGAGTCAGACTAAATCACGAACATCAAATAGTTATGAAACCAGGATTTCGATAAAGAGTGAGCGAATCATTATTTTGAGTATTGTAACTTTCATAGAGTGCAGGCTTTTTCTCACACTTCCAATTTCTTGTGTCTGAGCGGATATTCACGTTAAACTGCGGCATGGTATCTCAGTGGGATAGCACCATAAAATCGGCATTAGTCCGGACTAGTATAAGCGGCCACACAAACATACACACACACACACACACACACACACACACACACGTGCATGCACGCGGCTACGTATGTGCAATAATCTTGGACGTGAAGTTAAGCCCCATTTCGCCTTACATCACGAATCACCATCAAATAGCGATGATACCAGTCTCAAAAACGTGAGCGTATCCTGGCCCACCGGTGGCACATGTAGCATACACGTGCAAAAGCATGTCAATCGTTCACCTGAAAAAAACCATGGGTAGCATATGGTACAAGTCAAAATATTTGCATTGGATATAACTTTTTGTCACTGATGCGTCAAATTTGGAAATGTCCTCAACATGTCTTCCAAAGAAACATTTGGAAAGCTTTACTGAAGCGCGACTCACACGGGTCGACCCGTCGTAACGACATGCTGATTTCCATACATTCTACAACATGTTCGGTGATTGTAACGAATATCGACAAATCGATTTGCTGCCACTCACACGATTCGATCTGCCGATTGAGTGTCGATCTCATGATATCTCACGATAATTTGTTTCCATGGTATCAAAATGTCTAAAGCATTATTATAGGGAAATTATTATCGTACACGTTATTCTTTCATGCTACCAGGTGTAAGTGCTCTCGTACACAGCATCACAAATGTCAACAATTTGATAATATACGTCTGCGTACTAACTCGTTACTGTCGTTAGTGACTTTTCCGGCAGATCGCCGTTAATGCAGCGTTCCTCTTATCTCTTTTGGAATATTCACTGCTTGAGACATTCCACAGGCTTTCGTGACTCAGATAGTGAGCCACAAAACGTTCGGTTTCCTCTCTTGAAAAATCGAGGCGTGGTTTCTTCGCAGTCGACGAAGCCATGTTTCCCACTTGTGTGTAAACAAATATCACGTGACATCAAAACGCAATTTGATTGGCCGCGCCACATCCAACTTGCCGATTAGCTAGAACAGACTGTACGCACTCGCGACACAATCGATGCGGGTTCGAGCGGCCGATTTGTCCTTTTTGTCAAATTCGATTAATCACTCGGACGATACGACTCGGTCGAATTCGGCATATCGATTCGACAGGCCGACCCGTGTGAGTCCGCCTTGAGGCTTGAATGTTCTAACCTTGATCAAACAACTTTTGAGTCGTATGAGGGTCTTTGAAATCGTAGAAAGATCATGCTCGATTGTACTTTAAAGGTTATTGAAATGCAGTCAGCAAAGGCTCGAGCTGCAGGGATATTGCTCGACATAAATGGAAAGTTGAATATGAGAAAGTTGAAGTCATCCCTCTTGTCAAATACTCTTGTGGAAAGTGTTTGTCTCTCTGAATCTTTATGCATACATCTAAATATGAGATTCGCTGTGCAGAGTTACGTCCCCTGGACACGCCAGAAACCTATGATTGTGGGTTCGAATCCCGGTTCACCCCGATTATGTTTCTAGGTTTGTCAGCACCATACCCTTGCTCGTGGGTTTCACCGAAGTGGTAAACGTCTAAGACCTGCATCACTTCGGGCTTTCCTCCCACATTAAGCTGACACGCCGTGATATAACTGGAATAATGTTAAAAGCGGCGTTAAACCCAACTCACTCACTCACTCTAAATATGAAACATATGATTTCATTAATTCTATTTTTA